CTAGAAACTTCTTGATGTTCTACTTCCTCCACTGTAACTTCTTATACCATTTTTTCGGCGAGGCAAAAGAAGAGGTCACAATAATTAAATTTCTTGGGATTCAAAGTTTTGCGACTTCGATGAGAACCAGTACTAGATTGGGTTGGAAAGGAAACAGAGGGTGGTTGTGTCTCTGACTTAGGGTTTGGACTAGTTGGAGTGGGGAATGTGGGCTCTATCACTGATGCTTCAACGAATGAAGACATAGTGGGGATGATGCTTGGAACATTTTGTGTTTCTTGAGTTTCAGACATGGTGGAGTATAGTGAGTTGAAGAAGAGAGTATTTGGTTTGAAGAAGGAAAAGAGGAATTTTGGATTTTTGATGTGAACAGTTTTGAAAATGACTGTGAGTGGATTTATTTAAGAGGGGGACAAGTTAGGAATGGGTGTTAATTTTGGGTAGACGGGTCCTTTCATAATAGGTGAGACGTTTGGGTTTAAAAAGCGGGGAAAAAGAGAAACTGACTATTGACTGATGTGACACCGTTTTAGTCGTTTAAAAATTGTTCATGAGAGTACATAGGAGCTACTAACCTGTGTCAAGGGAACCAGGTTCCCTGATAGATTTTGCAAAGGTAAGCCTCATCCTTTGACCAACGTGCAATGCATTAGCTACTTGTTTACTCTGTAATCATCATGCATGTCTACCTTTAATGGTATAAAGATGAGTTAGACTTTGCCATAAAACACTTTTTAGCTATTTTACCTGTACAATTCTTTTGTAGCCAATCATCGAGGGACTAGATCCTTAGCTTGATTTCATCAACCCTAGTGCCAAGCAATTCTTTTCAAAGTGCTCTCTGCTTAGTGCTTTGGTGAATATGTCTACAATTTGATCTTCCGTGCTGCAAAATTTCATGGATATGAGCCCTTTTTGTACATTATCTCTGAGAAAATGGTGTCACACATCAATATACTTTGTTCTCTTTTGTTGATCTGGATTCTTGGCCATGTTGAGAGCACTGGATTGTCACATAGTAAGGGCACACTTAGAAAACACACCAAAATCTTCCAGCTACTACTTAATCCGTAGCAGTTGAGCACAATAAGAGGCAGTCCCCACATATTCAGCTTCTGCAGTTTAGAGGGCCACTGAGTTTTGTTTTCTTATACCCAATGAAATTAGACATGAACCCAGAAATGTGCCATGCCAGAAGTGCTTTTCCTATCTACTAGATAGCCTGCATAATCAGCATACCCAATTAAATCAAAATTGTCTCCTAAGGGATATTAGAGAACCAGGTCTCGTGACCCTTTGAGATATCTCAGGATTCTCTTGGCTACCTTCAGATGAGATTCTTGTTGATTAGATTGAAACCTGGCACAAACTCTCATACTAAAATCATTATCTGGTCTGCTTGTTGTGAGATACAGGAGTGACCCTATGATACCTCTATACATGGTCTCATTCACATAGGATCCAGGTTCATCCATGTCTAGATGAGTGGCTGTGGCAATGGGAGTATCAATGATTTTTATCCTTCCATGTCAAATCTCTTCAGCAACTCTTTGATGTACTTCTGCTGACTTATCATTGTCCCCTTAGGAGTTTGCTTCACTTGTAAACCTAAGAAGAAATTCAATTCCCCCATCATGCTCATTTCAAACTCACTCCCCATGAGTTTTCCAAATTCCTCACACAGAGAGTCATTCATTTCTCAAAAATAATGTCATCAACATAGACTTGCACAATGAGTAGGTTCCTCCCTCGTTTCTTCAAAAAAGGGTATTGTCAATTTTTCCTCTTGTAAAGCCATTTTTTAGAAGAAATTTTGACAATATTTCATACCAAGCGCGAGGAGCCTGCTTTAGCCCATACAAAGCCTTGTCAAGTTTAAAGACACACTCGGGATGCTCATGATTCTCAAATCTAGGTAGTTACTTGACAAAGACTTCTTCCTTTAGAAAACCATTTAGAAATGCACTTTTGACATCCATTTGGAACAATTTGAATTCCATATAAGATGCAAATGCAATGAGGATTCTGATCGCCTCCATTCGAGCAATTGGAGCAAAAGTTTCATCATAGTCAATCCCTTCCTCCTGATTGTAACCTTGAACTACTAGCCTTTCCTTGTTTCTTGTTGTGTTTCCAAACTCATCAAGTTTGTTTCTGAATACCCACCTGGTTCCTATAATGGTAAGCAGGTCATAGAACCAATTGCCACACATTGTTCCTCTCAAATTGATGGAGTTCTTCTTGTATAATTGTAATCCAGTTTGCATCTTTCAATGCCTCTTTGATATTTTTGGGCTCTATTTGAGAGAGGAAGGATGAGAAGGCAAGTGAGCTTCTTGTCTTTGATCTGGTTTGAATGCTTGAATCAAGATGAGTGATTACATTTTCAAGAGGGTCTGAACTTTTGTGCTTCCAATTAGACACCTGAATCTCATTGTGAGAAGGTCCATGTATTTCTGAATGTGAACCTTAATTGCTTCTCATCTCAGCATGTGGGGTGCCTTGGACAACATCGACAACTCTATTCTGAGCTTCAGTTGTTGTGATTGAGGGACCAAGTTCCTCTCCATCTGTTGGAGATATGGTTGCACCAATCTCGTTTGAATCCTTGACGTGGCTCATCATATCAGTCTTTCCATTTTCCATGTCAATAACATCACCAGGGACAGTTTACTGTTCTCCATCTTGATCACTCTTATCATGTAAATCTTTTCCACATAAGTGGTGAGATTCATCAAAGATCACATGTATGCTTTCCTCAACACATTAAGTTCTTTTGTTGTACACTTTGTAGGTTTTGCTTTGTGATGAATAGCCTAGAAAGATTCCTTCATCGCTTTTGGCATCGAATTTTCCAAGTTCTTTCTTGTCATTGTTGAGAGCAAAACATTTACAGCCAAAGTTCCTTAAATGTGTTAGCTTGGGCTTTCTTTCGTTTAGCAGTTCATATGAGGTTTTGTTCAGAAGGGACCTGATCATGCACCTGTTCACCAAATAACATGCAGTGTTAACGGCTTCTGCCCAGAAACTTTTTGCAATGCCACTATAAATCAATATTGTTCTTTCCATGTCTTCAAGATTCCTATTCTTCCTCTCCACAATACCATTTTATTGAGGTGTCCTTGGAGCTGAAAAATTGTGAGTGATGCCATTTTCAGCAGATGATTCGTCAAATTTGGCATTGTCAAATTCTGTACCATGGTCAGACCCGATACATACTACATTATTGCTCATCTTCACCTGGATCTTCTTTACAAATGCAACAAACACCTCAAAGGTTTCATCCTTGGTTCTAAGAAATAGAGTCGAGGTGAATCTGGAATAGTCGTCCACTATAACAATGATAGGTTACAAGTACCTTGGGCATAAGTACTTTACTTTATGTTTTGATGATCTAACAAACTTACCATCCAGAATCAGATACAGAACCTGTTACACATCTACAAGACCTTGAGATCACAAAGTTCCAAGTTGGGATATAACTCAACTCTTTAGAGTGGAAGGAACAACTGAGGAAACGGGTCCCTACCAGTTTCCGAGGAGACTGTATGAAGTCAACTCTCCAGCAGGAAAGTTACTGCCTGCACACGCTACTACATAAGAACAGTGCATCAGTCAACTTTCTATGGAAGGTTTTTTTACCTACCTTGCATTATTTTAAGTGATGTCACACACGTATAAATATCATCAAGGAAGGTAAAACAACTTACTTCATGAGAGAACCAGATAAAGGACCTAAAACATAGCTGGTACAATAATTCAAGTTAATCGACTCAAGATAATCTGGGCAATGTGATTTAGATTCACAGGAACCATATTAGGGACCTGATACCTTGGTGTTCCCCTGACAGAAGTATAAGTCAACTGTACAGTTGGAAAGCAACTGCAGAAAGTGAATGCCTACAATAGTGCAGCAGACATGCAACAGTCACTTTCCATTGAGATTGGACATCACCATTGTGAATTGACATCACTAATGTAATGTCTTGTGTAGTATAAACCTCATGCAAAGCACAATATTTAGGTTCAACACTTGCAAATACAGAAAATGAAAATCCTCTCTCAAGTGCTTGCAACAATCTCTCTCAAGAACAAAGTTGCTTCAACCTCAATGACCGGATACAAGATTGAAGTTGTCTTAAGTCCTTAGGTTTGTTGAGTCTTTGTTATTTGTTCTTCAATTGTAACTCCTATCTTGCTTTCTTAGAAGCTGTTTTAGGAAACCTAAAATCACAAACCCTCCAAGTTTGTGTCTTGGCTAGAGTTAGTCGAGTTGTAAAGATTTTGTAATAGAGTTATTACAAAGTGGCTTTTAATAGAGTTATTACAAGTGGCTTGTGGTGAGAGCATCACAAGCTAGTAAAATCCTTTGTAACTAGGGTGTCACAAAATGGCTTATGGTAAGAGTACCACAAGTTAGTTGAATTCTTTGTAATAGAGTCATTACAAAATGGCTTGTAATAGGGTTTGCAAGTTAGTGAAGTTGAAAGCCTACAAGTATAGGTCGTAATTTTTGTCCCCTTGAGTTGAGATTTTTCCACGTAAAAATCCTCTGTGTTCTTTACTTTCTACCGAGCTACTGTGGGAACAATTAGAGAACCTGATTCCCTATACTGGTTGGTTTTATAGTCTATTATTTACAGTGGGAACTTATAGAGAATCTGGTTCTCTACACAGCGGAAACTTATCCTGTCTATCATTTACATACTTGTTTAGTAGTTAGCACTTTACCAAGCTGATATAGGACTATATTGCTATACAGTTTGGTTCATTAGTATTTTCAGAGGAAACTCATAGAGAACCCGGTTCTCTATATAGTCTGGTAGATGCTAAGTTTCTAATAATTAGTATCAGAGCGGGTTCTTTCTAAAAGGTTAATACTTAGAAAGTATCTACATGGCTGCTCCACCAAATCACGAGGAAGACAATCAACGTACAGACCACCAAATTTCAATGGTTAATACTATGATTGGTGGAAAATAAGAATGCATGATTTCATTATGGCTGAAGACTCAGAGCTGTGGGATGCAATATGTGATGGGCCTTTTGTTCCCATGAAAACTGTTGGTGAGGGAACAGTTACAATCCCAAAAACAAGAAAAAAGTACAACGATGCTGATAGAAAGGCTATTGAGAAGAATTTTAGGGCAAAGAAGATTCTTGTTTGTGGCATCAGACCAGATGAGTACAACCGCATTTAAGCTTGTCAGTCTGCTAAGGAGATTTGGGAAGCTCTTCAAACTGCCCATGATGGAACTACTCTGGTTAAGCAGTGCAAAATTGATATGCTTACTACTGAGTATGAGCTTTTTAAGATGAAGGAGGATGAGTCTATTCAAGATATGCACACACGTTTCACCTCCATTATCAATGAGCTTCACTCCCTTGGTGAAATCATCCCAAGAAACAAGCTGGTTCGGAAAATACTCAGTGTTTTACCAGGTTCTTGGGAAAGTAAAGCAAATGCTATCACTGAAGCCAAGGATTTGCAGAAACTGACCATTGATGAACTCATTGGAAATCTCAATACTTATGAGATGAAGAGAAAAAAGGATCTGGAAAGAAGAGAGCCCAAGAAGGAGAATAACCTGGTTCTCGAGGCTGCCAATAAAGACTCAAGTAGTGATGACTCCGACATGGAGTATCTCACTCGAAGATTCCAAAAAATGATTCGAAAAAATGGTGGATTCCAAAGAAAAGAAGTTCCAGCAGGAATTTCGAAGAAAATGATTGCTGCCATAGGTGTGGAAAATCTGGATACTTCATTAAAGACTGTCCTCTTCATAAGCAGGATCATTACAAAACCAACACTAAAAAGGCCACTAAAAAGAACCAGGTCCCTGATAGAAAGTTCAAAAAAAGAGATGATGCTAACAACATGTTGAAGCAAGCCCTAGTTGATTGGGGAAATTCCTCTAATGAATCTGAAGGTGAAAATATGATGGTTGATGACAATAGATCTTCAGAATATGAGTTAATCTTTGCACTCATGGCCAAATCTAATGATAATGAGGACAAGGAGGAAGATGAGGTAAGTTTTCTTGATGTTCAAAGAAATTTGAAAACTTACTCTAAGAAAAAATTGATGTCCTTAGCAAATGTGTTGATTGATGCCTATCACAACCTCATTAATGAGAAGAATTCTTTAGTAGAAGAAATTGGTGGCATTGAACAAGAGAAGGATTATATGGGAGTTTCCATTGTAGACTTAGAGGAAACCATTGAGAGTATTAAGAAAGAAAAGGAGGTTTTAACTAAGAGTAATGCTAACATTGAGCACGAGAGAGATGATCTATTGGTGGTAGTTGTAAACTTGAAGGAAACAATTGGGGAACTTAAAATGAAAAGTAGGCCTGAGAATTCTCAAAAAGGAAAGGCAGTTGCAAGTGAGGCACACATTAAGCTTGAAAGTGAGTTAAATTCAGTGAAGTCTAGTCTGTGTGCTGAGCTTGAGAGAAACAAACAAGTTCAAGAAGAACTAGGAAGAGTGAAAAGTGATCTTGAAAAATCACTTAAGTGGACCTGGTCCTCTGATGCTATCACTGCCTTTTACACAAACAATGGGGGAAACAGGAAGGAAATCAGGTTCCAAATGAAAAAGACTCCCTATAACCCTTATAGCAAGTATGTTATTGTACCTGACAATTGGCTTTGCACTCACTGTGGCAACACTAGACACTTTAAAGAAAATTGTAAGGTCAGAATTCAGTCGTTGTAGAAAAATATGGTTTTTGCTGAAAACGTAACTGCTGCTACGAAACCTGGTCCTTCACATAAAAAACATATAATGCCTGCTTGGACCAAAAGAGCCCTCACTCACCCCTTTTCTCATTACAAGGACTCCTGTAAAGTTAAAATTCAGTCATTGCAGAAAAATAAAGTTGTTGTTGAAAAGAGGCATATTGATGAGGAACCTGGTTCCCAGAAAAGAAAATATGTGTTGCCTGCATGGGCAAAAAGAAGTCTGATCCACCCGTTCTATCATTACAAGAGACCCAAACTCTTTTGGGTTCCTAAGTCTAACTCTTGACTCTCTTGTGCAGGGAAAAGTGAAAGGGAGCAACCTACAATGGTACATGGATAGCGGCTGCTCAAAGCATATGACTGGAAGTACAAATGATCTCCTTTCACTTAAGGCCCTGCAAGGAGAGAGTCTACCCTTTGGAAATAGCTAAAAGGGGTACACTCTAGGAGTAGGAAGGATTGGAAAGTCACTCGCTCACTCAACTGAAAACGTGTGCTATGTCAATGGCTTGAAGTAAAGTCTCTTGAGTGTTTCTTAGATATATGACAAGGGAAGTAAAGTGGAATTCGTGTCCAAGATATGCACAGTCACCAATATTGTGACTAGTGAGGTGGTGCTTGTGGCCAAAATATACAAGAATGTCTACACTACTGATTTTAATTCCCGGTGTGATCTAACATGCCTAAGTGTCATTAATGATGATGCTGAATTATGGTGAAGATGACTGGGCATGTGAGTTTCTACTTGTGAACAAGTTGGTTATGGAGGACCTGGCTCATGGGCTGAAGCAGCCAACACTGCTTGCTACTTGATTAACAAATACATGATCAGGTCCCTCCTCAAGAGGTCTCTCTATGAACTGCTCAATGGGAGAAAAGACAAGTTGACCTACCCGAGAGCCTTTGGATGCAAATGTTTTGTTCTCAACAATGATGGAAAAAGGGTCACAAAACCAAGCAGATGAAGATGGAGAATTCACAAATGCTCCTGGTAAAGCTATAGATATTGCAAATGGAAAGACTGATCTGATGAGTCAAGTCAAGCAGGAGGATGAAGGAGATGCAGTAGAATCTCCAAAATGGCACAGAGGAACCTGGTCCCTCGATGATTTGCTATGTTAAGAAGGAAAGGTACTATGGTAAAAAGTGTTTTTCAGCGACATCTAACTCAAATCTATACTGTTACAGGTATACACATATGGCAGTTTCAGGACAAAAACAAGTAAGAGTGACATTGCACTACTAGGAGTCTTTGCTCAAAATTTTCAAAAACCGTCAAGGAACCTGGTTCCTGTGACTCAGGTTAGTAGTCTCTCCAATACTTATATGCCTTTTTAAGATGCTGAAGTGTCATGTCATTAATTTATATCTGGCTTTCTCCTGCTTCTCCTCCTAACTTTTGAAGTCCAAAATGTTAAACCTTTTCTGAATCGACCCGTTGCCCTAAAAAGGAACTTCTCTATCTTACACCCAAATAAAATCGACTCTTTTCTTCAAAACCAAAACCAACCTTTTCTCAAAATAATCCTTCTTTCCAAATATGCCAGAAGTGAACCCAACTGTCTCACTTTCAAAAAACCTAACTCCATCCGAATCAAAACCCCAAGAATTCTTTGGTAATTTTTTATGGAAGTTTAACTGAAAGGGAACACGGTAGATCTAATATTCTATAGCGTGAGGCTGAAATCATTGTTGGGTTTGTAGAAGCCTTGAAGGATGGTGGAATTGGTGAATGTGCTGAAAAAGAGGGGAATTGAATAAGGGACTCGGTCCCTAAATCCTTCTTAGGATGATAATTCTAATGATAATCTTTCTCTCTTGAGTTCTATGTATAAACAAACTTTTGATCCAGTAAAAAGGTTTGAGAAAAGCAGGCTGATTAATGATGAAGTGGTGCAACATGCTGATATGGTGATTGTGGAGGAGAGGTGAAGTGGAAAAATCTCCATTTTTGAAAAAAAATATATATAATAAAAAATGGAGAAAAGAGGGTTGGCTGAGAAAGATGCAGCAGATGATAAGAGTAAATAAATTGAGAAGAAGAAGAGGGAGATATGACTGCTCAGGGATAGAGAGGGTAGTGTAAGTGAGGAACCTGGTTCCTTACAGAAGTAAAAGGTTGAGCCATTAGGTTTGAAGGGAGAAGACTTTGAAGTCTCAAAAAGTGCTATAAGGCAGAGTGTTGACTCTGATATTGCTGAAAAATGGAGGAACTTCTTAACATTGTTGAGCTCCAAAAATAGAATAACCTTTTTGTTTCTCCAAGTCCCAATGTTTCTGAAGAAGAAGTAAAAACTTCTATATTTTACGTAAAACTATGATACTATATGTGCGTGGGACTGAGTCTATTCTTGATGAGACGAAGCTTGGAGAGCTTCTTGGTGATCTGATTGATGGTTCAGCCTACTCAGATAGTTTGAGCACCAGGTCCTCGTAGAACCTCGACAGAATAGAATGCTAAGTTGAAGGGTGAGAATGACAGATTGAGGAAACAAGTAGAGGAACTGAGAGAGCAGATGATCATTGATCAAAGGAGAGTAAATGAACGAATGGACAAGCTCATCAAAGCCTTGGCCCCTTACTTTCTTTCTACCCAGTGATCCATGTCCTTCACTCCTTCCAAATTCCCTTGAATTCTTATCTTCTTTTGATCCCTTTATTTAATGACATTGGTACTTTAGTTGTTTAAATTGTCATATTATGTATTGTTGAAACTACTGTGCTTTTGTTATAATTACTCCACTATGGGCGATCACTCTATTTTGTGACATGACATTCACTTGTTATTCTTGTTACTATTTATGCTGTGTTGCCCAAGTGGCCTGAGTTAATGTTGCTGAACTTCTTTTTGGTGGTACTTCTTCTGTTATTCTTTTCGATGATTCCAAAAGGGGGAAGTTATATAGGTGTCAACAGGGGGAGGAACAGAATCGAATTGATATATTGTGTTGTGCATGAAAGATGGCTCTGCTTGCTGATAATATGTTGACTCTAGGTCTGATCTGCAGGGAAACATGTGTAGAATCTAGTTCTCAAGAGGAACATTAATTTTGGGTTTGTCATCATCAAAAAGGGGGAAATTGTTCTACCTTAAACTATGTCATATTTTGATTATGACAAACGTTCTCAATGTACTGGGTACGGACCAGATGTGATCAGTGCAGATAAGGAACCTGATTCTTAGGGGGAATAATTTTGGGTTTGTCATTCATCAAAAAGGGGGAAATTGATAAGTTATGGTACTTTGAGTTTTGATGATTTGCCAAACAGTCTTGAGGAACCAGTTGTGATCAGCTCCTTAGATTCGGTTCTCATGGGGAATATGGCTGATTCGTATGGGAACAATGTGGAGATCTGGTTCTCAGGGGGAATATCAATTCTAAGTTTGTCGTCATCAAAAAAGGGAAAATTGATAGGTTACAAGTACCTTGGGCATAAGTACTTTACTTCATGTTTTAATGATCTAACAAACTTACCATCTAGAACCAGATACAGAACCTGTTACACATCTATAAGACCTTGAGATCACAAAGTTCCAGGTTGGGATCCAGCATGGGATATAACTCAACTCTTCAGAGAGGAAGGAACAACTGAGGAAACAGGTCCCTACCAGTTCCCGAGGAGACTGTATGAAGTCAGCTCTCCAACAGGAAAGTTACTTCCTGCACACGCTACTGCACAGGAACAGTGCAATAATCAACTTTCTATGGAAGGATTTTTACCTACCTTGCTTACATCATTGTAAGTGATGTCACACACGTATAAATACCATCAAGGAAGGTAAAACAACTTACTTCATGAGAGAACCAGATAAAGGACCTGAAGCATACCTGGTACAATCATTCAAGTTAATCGACTAAAGATAATCTGGGCAGTGTGTTTTAGATTCACAGGAACCAGATTAGGGACCTGATACCTTGATGTTCCCATGACAGAAGTATAAGTCAATTGTACAGCTGGAAAGCAACTGCAAAAAGTGACTGTCTGCAACAGTGTAGCAGATATTGTAGTAGTCACTTTCCATTGAGATTGGACATCACCATTGTGAATGTACATCACTAAGGTAATGTATTGTGAGGTATAAACCTCATGCAAGGCACAAGATTCAGGTTCAACACTTGCAAATACAGAAAACGAAAATCCTCTCTCATGTGCTTGCAACAATCTCTCTCAAGAACAAAGCTGCTTCAACCTCAAGAACCGGATCCAAGATTGAAGATGTCTTAAGTCCTTAGGTTTGTTGAGTATTTGTTATTTGTTCTTCAATTGTAACTCATACCTTGCTTTCTTAGATGTTGTTTTAGGAAATCCAAAATAACAAACCCTCCAAGTTTGTGCCTTGCTAGAGTTAGTCGAGTTGTAAAGCCTTTGTAATAGAGTTATTACAAAGTGGCTTGTAATAGGATTATTACAAGTTAGAGTGTCACAAGCCTTTATAACTGTATAGTGACAAAGTGTCCTGTGGTGAGAGTATCCCAAATTAGTAAAATCCTTTTTAACTAGGGTGTCATAAAGTGGCTTGTGGTAAGAGTACCACAAGTTAGTTGGATTCTTTGTAATAGAGTCATTACAAAGTGGCTTGTAATAGGGGTTTACAAGTTAGTGAAGTTGAGAGCCTACAAGTGTAGGCCATGGTTTTTGTTCCCTTGAGTTGGGATTTTTCCAAGTAAAAATCCTCTGTGTTCTTTACTTTCTGTCGATCTACTGTGGGAACAATTAGAGAACATGATTCCCTATACTGGTTGGTTTTACAGTATGTTGCTTACAGTGGGAACTTATAGAGAATCTGGTTCTCTACACAGTGGGAACTTATCATGTGTATCATTTACATACTTGTTCAGTAGTTAGCACTGTACCAAGCTGATATAGGACCAGATTGCTATACAGTTTGGTTCATTAGTATTTTTAGAGGAAACTCATAGAGAACTCGGTTCTTTATACAGTCTGGTGGACGCTAAGTTTCTAACAAACAAAGATGTACTTCTTTCATCCTCTACTTGGTGGCATCCTCATTGGTCCACATAGATCCATATGGAGGAGATCAAATGGCCTTGAGGTACTAACTTCCTTTTTAGGCTTGAAAGAAGATCTGACTTGCTTTCCTTTACACATGCATCACACACCTTGTGATCCTTGAAGCTTTACTTGGACAGACCACGAACCATACTCTTCTTGAACAATTTATTCAGCAACGTAAAACTTGTGTGACCCCCTTCAGTGCCATAGTTCAGCATCATCATCAACAACACTTAGACAGCTGAGATCCCCATTTTGCAAGGACTCAAAGTCAGCGGCATAGATATTTTTGTATCTTTTGGCCACTAACACCACTTCACTAGTCACAAGATTGGTGACTATGCATATTTTTGACACAAATTCCACTTTATTTCCCTTGTCACAGATTTGGGAAACACTCAGCAAGCTGTATTTCAACCCGTTCACATAGTACACATTTTCAATTGAGTGAGAGAGATTCCCAATCCTCCAACTCCCAAAATGTATCATTTCTTGCCATTTTCAAAGGATACATTCCCTCATTGTAGGGCCTTCAATGAAAGGAAATTGTTTGTACTTCCAGTCATATGCTTAGAGCAGTCACTATCCATGTACCTTTGTTGGCTGCTTCCTTTCACTGCTCCCTGCACAAGGAAATCAAGGGTTAGACTTAGGAACCCAAACGACTTTAGGTACCTTATAATGAGGAAATGGGTGAATAAGGAGCTTTTTGGTCCAAGCAGGCATCACACGTTTTTTATATGAGGGACCAGGTTCTCTAACAGTAGTTACCTTTTTAGCAAAAACTTTATTTTTCT